TCTCAATCACTTACTATGTGTCTATGAGCTGGATAATGACTAAAGAAGACAGAAGAATAGATGTCTTTGAGGTGTGGTGCTGGAGAAAAGTATGTTGTTGTTGTTGTTGTTGTGTGGCATCGAGTCAAAGCCAACCCACAGCTGCCCCTCCAGTGGGTTTTCAGAGGCAGTTAATTGTACAGGAGGAAATTGCCCATCATTCTTCTCCAGAGCAGACTGGTGGCCTCGAACTGCTTGCCTTCAGGATTGCAGCACAGCTTCTTGCCAGTAGGCCACCAGAGCTTCCTGGACAAGAGTGTAGTAAACATAAGAAGATAAACAGATCTGTGCTGAAGAGGGTGAAACAGTATTGCTCTTTGGAAGCAAGGATTTTGAAACTCTGTCTCACATATTTGGGACATATTGTCAGGAAGGACTTGTCCTTGGAGAAGGACGTTATGTTTAGAAGGTCAATGCAAGAGCAGATGATATTGGATAAGATGGATTGACACAGTGAATGTGGCAATGAGGTCAGATGTGTCTGACATGGAGAAAATTTTAGAGTTATTCATAGACATGAGTCATAGCCAATTCAATGACACATGACAGTAACAACCACATATTGGTCATTTAGTTATTTGCACCTGGCCCAAGATGCATGTTCCAAGCCATGTCCTTTTTTATCATTTTACATGCATGGTAAACATGGACAATAAAAAGGAATGATAGTAAAAAAAAACTAAAAACATTTAAAAAACTAAAAAAAGTGGAATGATAGAAGTAATACATTCAAATTATGGTGTTAGCAAGGAATATTAAATATAATGTGGACTTCCAAAAGAATAAGCAGATCAGTCTTAGAAGAAACACAACCAAACTCCTTCTTAGAAACAAAGATGGTACGACTTTGGCTTGCTTGCTTTGGCCACATCATCAAGAAAGACAAGAGCATTACATTTTCAAAGAGTAGAAAACTTTCAGTATAGTGGATTGACATTATATCTGCAATAATCACAAAGACGGCTCAGTGTTGGGCAATATTCTAATATATTCATCCAATAGAAACCTCAATCCAGGGTGGAATTCTAGGGAGAAGTCTCGACTTGTTGGCAGGCAGAGAAGACAATTTGATGGCAACTAACAACATAGAGTCAATAGAATCAAATATTTCTGTAAGGTTGATTAAGAAGAGAGTCCTTGCTCCATTAACAATCCTTACCAATCACTGATTGTTTTTCAATTTTCCACTATGTTGATGTAAAATAGTCTACTAGAGGAATGAATTTCCATTCCTCATCTACCTTTTGTCTCTCTCTCTCTCTCTCTCTCTCTCTCTCTCTCTCTCTCTCATTTTTTATTTTTCACTCTAACATTCTTCCTTCCACCTAAGAAAATGTTAGTGTCTACGTCTAATCTTTGAAATTTATCATTAAGAATTTAACTCACTACCTTGCAGTCAAAACCAACTCTTCACTGACCCACCAGTGGATATTCAGAGGTTGTGAATTGTATGGGAGGATATTGCTCATCCTTCTCCCTCAGAACAGCAGGTATGTTGGCAGCCTTTCAAATGCCAGCACAGTTCCTCACCCACTAGGCCACCAGAGATCCATTACCATCACAAAATGCTGAAAATTAATCTCACAGTAGAGTTTTGGTTTTTTGAGGGTTTTTTGTCTTGTTTTTTTCTTCTTAAAGGAAGATTATTGACGTAGAGAGACATCATGCTTGGGAAGGTGGAGGGATCGCACAGGAGAGGAAGACCCTCAATGAGATGGACAGGCTCAGGGACTGGGGTAATGAGGAGACAGGTGTGTCAGAGCCAATAAAGTTGGCTTAGGATAAAGCAAGGTGTAGTGCTGATGTACACAGGGTCCCTTCCTATGAGTTGCAGCTGACTAGACGGCACATAACAACAATTATGACAACAGCAGCAAAAGGAAATTTTAGATTTTGAAAGTTCATCAAGTGTTTGTCTTTCAATTAGTAAAATCGCTGACAATTGTGCAGCTTGTAAGGAGTTGCACTACTAACTCAAAGGGGATGCCTCTCCGGCAGTCTGAACCCACTAGCAACTCTGAGAGACAAAGATGAACATCCTCCTCACATTCAATTTACAGCCTTGGAATCCCATTAAAGGCTCATCTATGCACCAGTTCCATTTCAGTGGCAGTGCGTGAGTGAGTGAGTGGGTGAGAAAATGTATCAGGTTTTCTTATTTCCTCTTTTTGACTGTTTTTCTTTTTTGTAATTGATTTTCAGCATTATAATTTATTATTTAATATTATCAATTAACATTTTCAGTGGCTTTAATTTGTAAGTTCCAAAATCTCAAAGAAACTTTAACTACAGTGAATAACAAACTGTATAGGGAAATGGTGAGTATCTATCCATCAATTCAAAGAAATGGCAATTTTATTTTCATTTATAAAAAAGTATTTTACTTTCATTTATTATATCTTTTTGGTGGTGATGACAGTGGTGTTACATGCCTTTGAGTTAGAACGAACCCGTGGATGACTCTCCAGTGAGTTTTCAGAGGCTGTAAATTGCAAAGGAGAGGACTGTCCATCTTTCTGCCATGGAGCTACTGGCAGATAATCGCATGGAAGAATTTTGCCCATTCTTCTCAGCGAGAAGAATCCACAGAGCAGCTGGTGGATTCAGACTGTGTCCTTTTGGGATTGCAGCACAGCTTCTTGCCACTAGGGCACCAGAGATCCCTAGGACAGTGGACTAAGCGCTGTATTTCTTCACATTCCCATATGTATCCTTTCTAGATGAATAATTGACTTAGATTAGTCATTTAACATTTAACTGCTCAACCTAGAGCTTAAAAAGTGCCCTGGTATTGCAGTGAGGAAGGGCTCAGCTGCTAATTTAAAGGTGGGTGGTTCTAATACTCCAGCTGCTCTGTAGGAGAAAGGTGAGACAGTCTGCTTTCACATAGATTTGTAGCTTTGGAAGCTCTATGGGAGAGTTCTACTCTGTTCTATAGGCTTGTTATAAGGTGACACTTTGGGTTGACTAAATTTTGCTCCATTTGAAGAGAATAATAAAACACACTGGAAGCAGTTGTTATAAATACTTTATTAGTTAGTTAGTTAGTTAGTTAGTTAGTTAGTTATCGCACAGTATTTTGCAAATTGTTAAATGCTAGTAAAGGTGGTTTTATTATTATTTTCACTCTTCTTTCTCACAGAAGAACCAGAGTTTAAATATGTTCTCAGAGGGACCAGTTTCCAAAAATGCTACATCTACTGCCAATCAATATTATTATTGTAGAATAAATCATTCCTGAATGGCTACCTCTGGAACCACATTGGGCCAGGGTTCAAGTCTTAAATCTGCCACTTATTAAGAGTATAATCATGGACTAGTTTCCCTATTACTTTGATTATTCATCTAGGCAAAGGAAAATATGATGTTAGTGGTTTGAAAATTAAAGTGAGCAGAGCAGAGGGCCTATTAACATTTAATTATGTTGATCACTACCACCATCTTTAATTGTTACATTATTAATTTTAACTGTGAAGAATGCTATGAAATTTCATTTGTAAGGTTTCACCTGGCACTGTTCTGGAAAGATAGCACAGGCAGGAGATACCAGCAGTGAGTATTAACTAAGGGGGCATGGAGGAAACCTAACATGGGTAGTGATGCATTTGAATGATAACTTACTGTATAGTCTTATTCTCGTCTCTATGCCAGTAAGATATCTTCAACTTTGGATCCTCTGAAGCAGAGAACATCTTAGCCAAGGACCTCCAGACAGATGGGGAAGCTGAAGTATGTCATAAATATATTCACATGCAGAGTGTGAAAAAGAATACATATCTTCAAAAAAGAATATATCTTTTGGCACTTGGCAGATGGCCAGTCAGAAAGGTGATCATGAAGTATTTTGTAACATTAAATAAACCAGAATAATCTCTTGGTGTATATACTAATAATAAAAATAGCTATAATTTAGTAGATTCGGATGCTAGGTTAAATATTTTATATGTATTGTCACTTAGCATCACCAAAGTCTATAAAATAGAAACATTACTTCATTTCATGAATAAGTAAACAGACCTAGAGAGATGAGTGGGTATCAATAGATAAAAATCTATGGGATATTGGAGGTTGTTGCAGACAAAGGGTAAAGTATTTTTATAAGTATTAATAATGAGACAGCGATAATGTAGGAGAAAGCAGAGGTGAAGCAGGAGAAGAAGAACTGAAGTACCAACCTTAGCTTCCCTGAGTCTCTACTGAAAATTGCCTGGGAGCAAATCACGAAGAGAATTCAATGCAAATGAAACTAAGCTTTTTCTACTGAAAACCTTCTGCTTGACTCAGCAGGAAGGCGTTAGCAAACACAATGCAAGAATCCTGTAAATACTTAAGGATTGCCTTAGTGTCTATCCCTGTTAACATTTAAGGATTGCCTAAGTGCTTCGGCGTGAATTCCAGCTTGTATCAGCCTCTCTCATAACCTGAAGTAGCATTTGGTTTATTACAAATATTTAGTATGAAATTTGGCTTCCTGTAGAAGGTGCCATTCAAATGAAGTTCAGTCACTTGAAAAGATCATAGTCTTTTTCAGCATGGTGCCTCCACAAGAGGTTCTGACGCCTAGCTTTGATACAGCAGCCACTATTTCTGGTTATTCTTCTTCTGCTCTCTTTTCCCCCTTCGTTGTTTCCTTTTAAACTGCAACAATAAAAGCACGCACTCACACTCACTTACAGTCTTCAAGTCAGAACTGACTCAAAACTGACCATCCCATGGGTTTTCAGAGGTTGCAAATTGCTGGAGAGGAGACTGCCCATCTTTCTCTCTCTGAGCATCTGATGAATTAGAATTGAGTTGACAGTACAACTCCCTACCCACTAGGCCACCAGAGCTCTCTCAACAACAATAACAAAAAGTAGATGATAAAATTCACATTGAGAGATGTATACACAGAATACTGCTCTATGACATCCTGTGGTCTTGTTAGCACACTCCTGTGTTCCCCTTGTGGTCTGTTGTAGGTGTGCAGAGCAGCTAGTTCACAATAATCTCCCAACCACCAGTGTGATCATGTGCTTCGTGGATGAAGTGTGGTCCACCCTCCTGCGGTCTGTTCACAGTGTCCTCAACCGCTCCCCTCCACACCTCATCAAGGAAATTCTACTGGTGGATGACTTCAGCACAAAAGGTAAGACAATTAATCAAACTTTCCTAAGAAAGTTTGTGATCAGATCTCAGTCTCATAGGAAGTAATAGCAGTTTTGATAACAAAACTGCATTACTGTCTAATGACATATAAGGAGCACTGATGATACAGAGGTTAAATTAGATGTCTGTCAACCCAAAGGTCAGCAGTTCAAACCTAGCTTATCTGCCTCCATAATGATTCAAAGTCTTGGAAACCTTATAGGAAAGATCTGCTTTGCCCTATAGGGTTGCTATGAATTAGAGTCAAGTCAAATGCAATATGTTTAGGTTTGGCTTGCTGAAACATAAATATATTGTTTGTTGTTAGCTTCCATTGAGTTGAGTACGACTCATAGTGACTCTATAAACCCAGGCCTGTCCTGTGCCATCCTCACACTTCCTGACACAAAAGAGCCCATTGCAGCAGTCACCAGGTCAATCCACCTGCTTGAGTGTCTTCCTCTCCTTCCCCAACCCTCCACCTTTCCCAACATCATGTCCTTCTCCGAGGAATAGCACTAGCACCTCCTAGCAATATGTCCAAAGTATGTGAAGTGAAGCCTCAACATTCTTGCCTCCAAAGAACACTCTAGTTGCACCTGCTCCAAGACATATCTATTGGTTCTCTTGGCCATCCATGAGCTCTGTTTAGTGCTCTGTTCCAACACCTCAGCTCAAGAGCATCAGTTCTTTTTCTGTCATCCTCATTCATTGTCCAGTTCTCAGATGCATAACTAGTAATTGGAAAGGTTATGGCCTGAATCAGATGTACCTTAGTCCTCAAACTGACATCACTACTCCTTAATAAACGGAAAGGTCCCTAACTATTTCCGAACTGCTTGTAGGAAGGGCGTTAATTGTGGATCCAAGCAAGATAAAGTTGTTGGCAGTTTCAATTTCTTCTCTATCATGACACTACCTATTGTTCCAGTCATGAGAATCTTTGTTTTCTTAATATTGAGACACAATCCATGCTGAAGACTGTATTCCTTGATCTTCTGCAGCAAGTGCTTCAAGTCCTCCTCACTTTCAGCAAGTAAAGTTGTGTTGTCTGCATAACACATATTATTGATGAGTCTCCTTCCAGTCCTGATGCCATATTCCTCTTCATAGAGTCTAACTTCTCAGATCATTTGCTCAGCATATAGATTGAACAGGTATAGCGATAGAATACAACTCTGTCATACTCCCTTCTCAATTCCAAACCATGCAGTGCTGCCCTGCTCTGTTCACTCAACAGCCTCGTGTTATAGGTATAGGTTCCTCATGGGCACAAACAATTGCTCTGGGATTACCATTCTTTTCAATGCCAGCCACAAGTTGTCAAGATCCACACAGTCAAACACCTTTGTATAGTCAATAAAACACAAATAGACATTCTTCTGTTATTCGTTACTTTCAGCCAGGATCCATAAGGCACCAGCAATGATATCCCTAGTGCCCTGGGCTCTTCTAAATCCCACTTGAACTTCTGGCAATTCCCAATCTATGTACTGTTTGTTCCAGCCATTTTTTAATGATCTCGAGCAATATTGTGCTTGCACGTGATATCAATGATATTATTTGATAATTTCCCCATTCAGTTGGATCACCCTTCTTGGGAAGAGGAACAAAAATAGGGACCTGTTCCAATCCATTGGCCAGACAGCCATCCTCCAAATTTCCTGATATAGACTTGTGTGTCCAAAGCTGCATCTTTTAATTGAAACAAGTCAGTTGGTATCAGTTGGTATCCCTTTGATTCCTAGGGCCTTATTCTTTGCCAATGTCTTCAATGTAGCTTCTACTTCCTCTTTCATTACCATTGGCTCCTGTTCATATGGTATTTCCTGAAATTTTTTAATGTCAGTCAATTCTTTCTGGCACAGTGATTCTGTATATTCCCTCCATCTTCTTTTGATGCTTTCTGGGCCATTCAATATATTGCCCATATCATATTTCAGCATTGCAACATGAGGCTTAAATTTGCTTTTCAGTTCCCTCAGCTTGATAAATTTAGAGCAAGTTCTTCCCATCCTCCCATTGTAGATGAGTTTTGGTGGAGATCCTTGATTAAAACAAACTAGGAAGCAGGATGGGCCATCTACGTCTTAAATAAAAGGCTTTTGAAAACCCTATGACCAGTAAGTAAAGAGGATCGTTTTAGTAGTGTAGTGGTAGAGCCCAGGTTAAAAGTCTGTTGAAATGAGGAAAATTAGTAACAAACAGTATTTAACAATTGGTACATAGAATGTTCACAGCTTGAATGTTGGGAAATTAGATAGTGTTAAAAATGAAATGTAACACATGAATATTGATGTACTAGGCATTAGTGTGATGCAATGTACCAGCTATGGCCACTTTGAATCAGATCATCATAAGATATATTATGTAAGGAATGAAAAATAGAAGAAGAATGGTGTTGCGTTCATAGTAAAAATTATATTCCTGGTGCCACAGCCTCTTCATCCAAAGAAGCATCAAAAGAAGATAAACATTTTACAAAGATGCAATTCATTGTTTAGTGTGGTGCTCTGGAGAGATGTGTCTAACAGTATATGGGATATTAAAGTCAGCTCTTGAAATCATCTAGGGTCTTTGTTCAGGCAGTTCTCTCAAGGCTGTTCTTCAGCTATGACTTTGCTTCCATGTAGGAAATGTTTCTAATCAGTTCTTTGGAGATGGTACTCTGAAATACCAGAGATCTAAAGATGCCCTATACTACTGCATAAAGGCCTTTAAATACAATCTAATAGGCAAGCATCTCAAAATTCATGGGATGCCTTTTCTATTAGCAGTGAGTAGAGCTGGTGTTAGAGTTTCAAAATACACATAGCTTTGGAGTCAGAATCAACTCTCTATTGGGTTTCTAAAACTGTACATGAGACAAGATTGCCCATCTCTCTCCTGTCAAGCTCCTGGTGGATTCAAACATCAGAAAGGTTCATTCATTTTGGATTAGCAGCATAACCGTAACCAAAAAATAGAAGATATGTCTTCTCCCTTATGAATAGTGTATGTTTAATCAATGAAAAGACAAATCGCCCATGGGACCAGTGAGATTACCTTCCCATGCAATTCAGAGACAGAATCCACCAAGCTCTTTCCTTTTGTTTTGTTTTGTTCTGTTCTGTTTATTGCAGTGACAAATTTTACTCTCCGGGCTGTCAAGTAAGTTGTGGGTGTAAGTGATTTCACAGATCCTGTAATCACAAAAATTTAAAATGTCCAAAATGCAACTCACCTCAGAAAATTTTAGAAAGTAGTAAAGGAGATGACAATTTTAAAATAAAACTTCCCCTTGTTCTGTGACTACAGTGGGTTGAACCCATTTCCTGAGCCTCAGAGTTCCTTCACAATCATACTGGACTCAGTGAGCAGTCAGATACCAGAGAAAGCTTAGTTTAATATCTCAAGTGGTTGGAAGTTTGATCAAAAATAGCATCCAGTTACCAAGTTCCTTTTGGGTTTTTGTAAACCCTCAAGCGTATTCAAGTTTCTGGTCTCTCTTTTAGAAAAAGAATACAAGTTACAAATAGAAAATTAATGGGAAAGTAAGAGGCAGAAGTATTTCTGGAAACTATTCCTACTTGAGATAACTGTCAATATCTTAATTACATGCAGAAGTGATTACATGCCACATAAATAAGTGAATAAAACTCTGAAAGAGTTATTTAGTTAGATCCTTCTTTCAACAAGAGAGGAAAAAGATATTATGATGAGACTGTTGGAGTGGCAAGTGGGGTGATTTTAACCAATTTGTGTTACAATTTCTTTTCTAATTTTATAAGTTGTGTACATTGCTAAAATCTCCTGTCTGGTTCTTGGAAAGGATTTTTGCAAGTGAGAGACTTGAAGTCTGGGTAACATTTGCTTCAAGGCCAAACTGTTAAATACTCAGATAATGTGAGCTCCATTCAAGTGTCTGAAGATGGAGGATGAACAGGGGAAGGGAAGGGAAGGGAAGGGAAGGGAAGGGAAGGGAAGACCCCTCAAATAGTCTTCTTCAATAGGCTCTAGTGTGTTAGAGATGATGAGGATGGCACAGAATAGGGCAGGGTTCAGATCAACTGTTGATACGGCCACAGTGAGTTGTAGTAGACTAGATGGCACATAACAACAACAACAACTCAGTGTAACTTGATAATACTAAAGAGAGGGATTTGGGAGTTGAGAAATCAGGTAGCATATAATACTGAACCCAGACAAAACTCACTCAAGAGAATAGCATCAGAGGATAAAATAATGGCTCCAAGAAATAACATTTAGTTGGTATATTAAATGATTTTAGGATTCAACATTGAAGAGGACTAAAGTTCCTAGGGTCCCTATAATGGTCAACTTAGTGGCACCTAACAGTACCAACAGTTAATCTAAGTGTTTTCTTATCTCTCCCCATCTGATATAGAGTACCTAAAAGATAATTTGGATAAATACATGTCTCAGTTCCCAAAAGTTCGAATACTTCGCCTCAGAGAGAGACATGGTTTAATAAGAGCCAGACTGGCAGGAGCACAGAATGCAACAGGTAAGAAGCTACTAACGTGTTTTTTTTTCAGTCACATTTTACCTTTAAGAATGTGTCAAGCATATAAAGAACTTTAAGTGTAGTGCAATTAGCACATATCTATTTAACCAATTAAAAAAATTGTAATACATGCTTTATCACACATACACAGAGACAGGTATATAAGCATACTTTTTCTATAAAAGCATTCCTTTTTCTTTAGAAAGGAATTTACAGATGCTGTGAGACGACACCCCTTGAAACTTCAGTAGATATCTTGGAAGAATAAGGGCATTGTCTTTCATAAGCATGACTTTCATATCTAAATACCACTTAATCTATACCTCACTCAAATATCTTCAGTTCCTCACAAAACGTTTGATGGCTTTCCTTCTCCTTTTTCTGTTCTTTTAAAATTTAGGATAAATTAATATTAATGAAGTACATTTTCTTTTCCAATCTCTTTATTCTCTTTTAATCTAGAATATTAACTCTGCTCAGAATCTCTTATCATATATTGTATGTTTTTTGGGGGGTTTTGTTTGTTTGTTTTTTTAAGTCCAGACTATTTGATAGAATTGACCATCCTTGGAATTCATTGTTTCTTCATATTAGTTACAGAATAAGCGTCTTTGGCATGACTGCTACACAGATGATTGTGACCTTCTGAATACCTCAAATCAAGAGTTTCAAGATTCTAGACTTGTTATTGCTGGTGACTATTAGTTTTGCACTTGGTTAAGCTATTGGCAACCAGTCAGGTCCCCTGTGAGTAAGAAGTATTTTGCAGAATGATACTTTGGTACATGTGTAAATCCAACTACGTTTTACCCAACAAGTTATCATCCAATGATATCATTGCCCAAAATAATTACTACATAGAAATATGCAAGATTCTGGTTTTTTCTCAGTTTTATTACTTTCTCTTATTCATTGTAAAGAATTCCTATGGAGCACTAATTCTCTCTCTCTCTCTCTCTCTCTCTCTCTCTCTCTCTCTCTCTCTCTCTCTCTC